GCTCACGCTGCCTTGCAGTTGCTGGATTGATTCGTATTCGTGTGTTTCCAGCCATTGCAGCAGATGGGTCTCGATTTCTGCGATATGCTTGATGCCCCGTTTGATGAGCACCGAGCACAGCATGGTCACGCTTGCGCCGGCCATGAGCATTTTGAGTGCATCTCGATGCGTGTGAATTCCACTGGTCGCTGCAAGATCGGCATGAATACGGCCATAAAGAAGGGCGATCCAGGTCATGGGCAACCGCAGCACTAGGGGAGTGCTCAGCAACACCGTGGGCTGCACTTCAAGAGACTCCACGTCGATGTCTGGTTGGTAGAAGCGATTGAACAAGACTAAACCCTGAGCACCCGCCTCGACAATTTGCTGTGCCATGTACGCCAGACTACTGAAGTAGGGGCTGAGCTTTACGGCCAGGGGTAGATCTACGGCGGCTCGGACCGCAGTCACGATTTCGAGATATCGGGCCTCAACCTCGGCGCCGCTGGTATTCATGTCCGTGGGCAACCAGTAGATATTGAGTTCCAGCGCATCGGCACCCGCCTGCTCAATCTGCTTCGCATAGTCGACCCACTTGCCTGCGGTGGTTCCATTGAGGCTGGCGATGATCGGTATGCCAACCGCCTGTTTGGCGTTTTGGATGTGATTCAGATAAAGTTCCGGACCAACATGGAACTTCTCTGGCTCTGGGAAAAATGTGAGCGCCTCACCATAGCTCTCAGTGCCTTGCGTCATGTTGAAGTCAAGTTCCTGGGCATCGGAACGTAGCTGCTCTTCAAACAGTGAATGCAAAACAACGGCCGACGCCCCTGCGTCTTCCATGCGGCGAATGTTGTCCACCTCTTCCGAAAGCGGTGATGCCGATGGGACAAGCGGAGTCCGCAGTTTCAGCCCAAGATACTCGGTCGATAAATCTGGCATGGGTCACCTCATTCAGGCTGGCTTGTTGCAGAAGGCGATTCTTGACCCTGAGGCTGTTTCGGTGGTTGCGCCTTGCCGTTGGTGTGATCGTCGTGATAAGCCGCCAGGTACTCGTACAAAGCACGTCGGGCATTCACGTCTTCTTGCGCGCTGGCGGCCAAACGTCGAGCTTCCTCGGGACGGCTGCTGAGCAACATCTTGAAACGGTTTTCGCGATACATGTAATCGGTGACCGACCCACGCGGGGAACGGGAATCGAGCTTCAATGGGTTCTTGCCTTCGGCCAGCCGATCTGGGTGATAGCGATAGAGTTGCCACTGTCCGCTGTCGACCGCGGCCTTTTGGTTTTTCATCGCGGTCGTCATGTTGATCCCGTGTGCAATGCAATGACTGTACGCGATGATCAACGAGGGCCCATCGTATGCTTCGGCCTCCAGAAACGCTCGTAACGTGTGTTCATCCCTGGCACCCATGGCAACGCTGGCCACGTAGATGTGGCCGTAGGTCATTGCGATCAGCCCCAGATCCTTCTTGCCTGCCTCTTTCCCTCCCGCGGCGAATTTCGCCACGGCCCCACGCGGCGTGGCCTTTGACATCTGACCGCCGGTGTTTGAATAAACCTCGGTATCAAGAATCAGCACGTTCACGTTGTGGCCGCTGGCCAGCACATGATCGAGCCCGCCGTAGCCGATGTCATAACCCCACCCATCACCGCCGACAATCCACACACTTTTCTTGACCAGGCAGTCGATCGTCCCCAGTAGCCTAAGCGCGGGAGCCCCTCTGATTTTCTTGATTCGCTCTTTCAGCAGGGCAACACGTTCTCTTTGTGTAAAGATGTCGGCCTCGTCTCGCTGCTCGGCTGCAGCGGCAACCGTCTCCTGGACAATCTCAGGGCCGAGTTCATCGGATAGCTGCTCGAGCAATTCAATCGCTATTTGCGCTTGTTTATCGATCGAAAGCCGGAAACCAAGCCCGAACTCGGCGTTGTCTTCAAACAACGAATTGGACCAGGCCGGACCGCGTCCTTCGCCGTTCTGGCTCCACGGAGTTGTGGGAAGGTTACCCCCGTAGATGGAGGAACACCCCGTTGCGTTGGCCACCAAGGCCCGATCGCCGAACAACTGACTGAGTAGCTTCAGATAGGGTGTCTCGCCACACCCAGCGCAGGCCCCGGAGAATTCGAACAGAGGTTGTTGGCACTGCTGTTGATGAATGCTGTCCGTTCTCAACTCACGGCGATCTTGCTCGGGGATCGACAGGAAGAAGTCCCAGTTCTCGCGTTCTTTCTCACGCAATGGCCGCTGGGCTTCCATATTGATGGCCTTCAAGCGGGCCTGAGACTTATTACGCACCGGGCATACATCAACACAAATACCGCAACCGGTGCAGTCCTCTGGGGCCACTTGAATGGTGTACTTCAGGTCGTACCATTGCCGGTCGCGTGCGTCGGCCGACTTGAAGGTCGGTGTTGCTTGCTCAAGCACCGTAGGCTCGTAGACTTTGCTCCGGATTACGGCATGGGGGCAAACCATTACGCATTTGCCGCATTGAATGCAGATATCCGGATCCCACACGGGGATCTCGCTCGCCAAATTTCGCTTCTCCCATTGAGAAGTTCCCGTGGGGAACGTGCCATCTATCGGCAGCTTGCTCACGGGAAGAAGGTCCCCGCGGCGTGAAATAATGGGCCCGATCACATCACGGACGAATGCTGGCGCTACCTCGGGCACGGGTGCTTGAACATCCCAGATACTATCAACCTTCGAAGGAAGTTGAACTTCGAACAGGTGCTGAAGTGTTTGATCAACCGCGTTCAGGTTCCTCTGTACGACATCTTCTCCCTTCTTTTCGTAAGTTTTCCGAATCGATTCTTTCACGGCGTTGATGGCTTCGTCGCGAGGTAAAATTCCCGCGACCGCGAAGAAGCAGACTTGCATCACCGTATTGATCCGACGACCCATACCACACTCGCTGGCTACTTTGGCCGCGTCGATCACGAATAGCTTGGCTTGCTTTTCAACAATCTGCCGTTGGGCCTCGCGGGGCAATTCGTGCCAGGCCTTATCCACGGGCGAAGAAGTGTTCCAAAGCACGGTCCCGTTCTGGGCCAGATGGTCGAGAATCTCGTACTGCTCGAAGAACTGCGATTGATGGCAGGCCACCACGTTGGCTCTTTCGATCAAATAGCTCGAGCGGATGGGGCTTGGTCCGAAGCGAAGATGCGAAACCGTAACTGCACCCGCCTTTTTCGAATCGTAGACAAAGTAGCCTTGAACCCAGCGGTCTGTCTCTTCTCCGATGATCTTGATTGTGTTCTTGTTGGCGCCCACCGTGCCGTCGGACCCTAAGCCGAAGAACATGGCTCTCACGACCTCGTCTGACTCGATCGAGTACGTCGGGTCGTACTCTAGGCTCGTATGCGTGACGTCGTCGTCAATCCCAATCGTGAAGTGGTTCTTCGGCTCATCTCGACCAAGTTCGTCAAAAATGGCCTTGATCATTGCCGGGGTGAATTCTTTCGAGGAAAGCCCATAGCGGCCTCCAATCACTTTAGGCGACGCCGAGGGGCCCTCCCACTTGTTGTTCCGGGCCTCGGCAAGGGCCGCCAGACAGTCGAGGTAGAGCGGTTCTCCCAAGCTGCCAGGCTCTTTCGTGCGGTCGAGCACGGCGATGGCTTTCGTCGATCGCGGCAGAGCTTCTGCGAATCGCTTAGCGTCGAATGGCCGATAGAGCCGCACCTTTAGGACACCCACCTTTTCGCCCTGGGCGACCTCGTGATCAACGGTTTCATGCACCGACTCGCATGCACTGCCCATCACAACGATCACCCGTTGCGCGTCGGGAGCCCCGTGATATTCGTAAAGTCGATAGGCTCGGCCCGTCAGTTCGGCAAACCGATCCATTGTGTTTTGGAAGATATCGGGACAGGCCTGGTAAAAGCGATTCGCCGCTTCCCGCGCCTGGAAGTACACATCGGGGTTTTGCGCGGTTCCCCGCAGCACAGGGCGGTCGGGAGTCAAAGCTCGGCTGCGGTGTGCTTCGACCAGGCTGTCGTCGATCAGTTCCCGCAATAGATCATCTTCCAGCGGAACGATCTTGGAGATCTCATGCGAGGTTCGGAAGCCGTCGAAAAAATGAAGGACCGGAATCCTGCTTTCGAGCGTGGCGGCATGAGCGATTGCCGCCAGGTCTTGTGCCTCCTGCACCGAGGCACTACTCAGCAACGCCCAGCCCGTGGTGCGGGCAGCCATCACGTCGCTGTGGTCGCCAAAGATCGAAAGCGCCTGGGCAGCAAGTGAACGCGCAGCCACATGAAACACAGTCGGGGTCAGCTCTCCCGCGATCTTGTACATATTAGGGAGCATCAACATCAGCCCCTGCGAGGCCGTGAAAGTGGTCGTCAGCGAGCCGGTTTGCAGCGCTCCGTGGACCGCACCTGCCGCCCCACCCTCACTTTGCATCTCGACGATCGAGGGGACTGTTCCCCAAATGTTGGGGCGGTTCTCGCACGACCACGCATCTGCCCATTCGCCCATGGGAGAGGCTGGTGTAATCGGATAAATGGCAATCACTTCATTCAGGCGATGCGCCACCGAGGCCACCGCCTGATTGGCATCCAAGGTCGTGTAACGCGTGGACATACTGATTGCTGCCTATTTGAGAGACGCGAATATTTCATGCTACCGAATGTCAATGGTTCGGTATCTTTCTCCCACCGAGCGAGCGTCGTTCAATCAATTAACATCAAACCGCCTATTCAGAAGGGTATGCACCTAACGTGCCACTTCGAGAGACTTATCAAAAGCCACTTGAAATGGTCTCGTGTGCGCAAGTGAACCGCGTCAAAAGCCATGAATCGCCAAATCCATCGTGTGCGGTTGAGTCATGTGATGTGCGGATTGGCTCGCGACACGGTTTGCTGCGAGCGATTCCGAAACAATGATGCTCGGCTATGAGAGCGGCAAGGGAGGTCGATTTCTAAATTTCGCTGGAAGTCAGTACCTTGGTACAAGATTGGCACTCTAATTGTGCGGGTAGTCGAATCAGGGTGGTCCTGGAAAAGTCGGGGTTCAAGAATGGACGGGCAAGAACTGGGAAAACTTCTCGGTGAATTGAGTTTCGCCTCGCAACTTCCCGACGAGGCCCTTACGAGAATTGGCGAGATTGCGGCATTAGAATGCTTCCCCGCCGGATCGGTCCTCTTTCGCGAAGGCGTGGGTAATCCGAACCTGTATCTCATTCGTCACGGCCGTGTCGCATTAGACATGACCGTGCCAGGTCGGGGGCCAGTACGTATTCTGACCCTTGGACCAGGTGATATGGCCGCGTGGTCAGCGGTTGTCGGCTCGGGGGAAATGACCACCTCGGCCACGGCTCTCGAAAACACCGAAGTAGTCGTGTGCGAGGGCAAAAAGCTGCTGGAACTCAGCGAAGCGAATCACGAATTTGGATATCGGTTAATGCATCGGGTCGCAGTCGCTTTGGCTCACAGGCTAACGGCCACACGCCTGCAACTACTCGACTTGTTCAGCGATCCAGAACCGGCATCCTCTGTTTCGTCGGGAGAGTCTCGTGGAGACGAATGACTTTCAGACAGAGAGACTTGATGCCCGCATGCTGACGCGTGCGGTGCTCGATCGGCTATTGGCACTGCTCAAAGACCAAGGCTACGAGGTGATCGGTCCCACCATCGACCAGAACGCCATCGTGTATGGCCCAGTCGAGTCAATCGAAGATCTACCGCACGGCTGGACCGATGAACAACAGCCGGGAAGTTATCGCCTGAAGCGCCGCGACGACGATGCACTCTTCGGCTATGTGGTTGGGCCACATTCCTGGAAGAGTTACCTTTTCCCCCCGCTGGCGACGGTGCTAGTCAGCGAACGGACCGAAACAGGTTGGCAGATGCGGTCGCCGGAGGAAGAAACGCCGCGATACGCCTTTCTAGGGGTTCGCGCTTGTGAACTCTCAGCCTTGGCTATCCAAGACCGTGTGTTCGCCGAGGGTGACCACGCCGACCCCATCTATCAGGCTCGTCGCGAAAACGCTTTCATCATCGCGGTCAACTGCACTCAAGCGGCTGCCACATGTTTCTGCACTTCAATGAACACCGGTCCCCGTTGTCATGCGGGCTTCGATCTAGGGCTCACTGAATTGTCGAATGGCTTCGTGGTTGAAGCCGGATCCGACCGCGGCGTAGCCCTACTCGATCAACTACAGCTCAACGATGCCACCGATGATGAACTGCGAAGAGCCGCCGAGGCACGCGATGTGGCCGTCTCGCAGATCACTCGACACCTCGACACAACCGATGTTCATGATCTGCTGCTAAACAACCTGGACCACCCTCGTTGGAATGCGGTCGCTCAGAGGTGTCTCTCTTGCACGAACTGCACCATGGTCTGTCCGACCTGCTTCTGCAGTTCTGTCGAAGAAGTGTCTGAACTATCCGGCGATCGAGTCGAGCGCCAACGTCAATGGGATTCCTGCTTCAACATCGACTTCAGCTACATGAATGGAGGAACCGTCCGCAACTCGATCCGCTCACGCTATCGCCAATGGATGACTCATAAACTGGCGACCTGGATCGATCAGTTTGGGACCTCGGGTTGTGTTGGTTGTGGGCGCTGCATCTCATGGTGCCCTGTCGGGATCGATCTCACCGAGGAGGTCGCAGCCCTGCGGAAACTGACATGACCGAGCAACTCGCAAAAACCTCTGAACACCCAAATTACTGGGTTCCCCACCCAGTGGTGATCGATCAAATACAGCACGAGATTCCCGGCGTCACCACCTACGAACTGGCGTTTCTCGATTCTGCGACCGCCGGCGACTATCGATTCGCCCCAGGGCAATTCAATATGCTCTATGTTCCAGGAGTGGGTGAGGTGCCCATCTCCCTGAGTGCCGACCCGCGCTCCAGGCGGACATGGGCCCACACGATTCGAGCTGCAGGTAACACCACGCGTGCCATCGAAAAACTGGGGCTAGGAGCAACTCTCGGCATGCGGGGCCCCTACGGAACTGCATGGCCAATGGAGTTGGCCACCGGGAAAGACGTGTTGCTCGTCACCGGAGGCATCGGTCTAGCACCGCTTAGACCGGTGATCTACGAGCTGATTTCCCGCCGCTCAGATTTCGGCAGAATCACACTGCTCTACGGGGCAAGGTCTCCAGATACCATGCTCTACGTCAAGGAGTTTTCCGAGTGGGCCCGCCACGACATCGAGATCCAAACCACGGTTGACCGATCCTCTCTTGACTGGCAAGGTAATGTCGGAGTCGTCTCACTTCTGCTGGCCCGCCTGTCTTGGCTCGACAGCGAACATAGCATCGCCATGACCTGCGGCCCTGAAGTAATGATGCGTTACACGGTAATGGCGGCTCGCGATCAAGGATTTCGCGACGACCAAATCTGGGTTTCGCTCGAACGAAATATGCAGTGTGCCGTTGGAATGTGCGGACACTGCCAACTCGGGTCAGAATTCGTCTGCAAAGACGGGCCAGTATTTCGACACGACGCGGTTGCCTCCTTCATGTCGGTGGAGGGGTTGTGATGGCCAAGAAACCAAGAGTGGCAGTAATCAAATTTGCCTCGTGCGACGGTTGTCAGCTGACGCTTCTTGCCGCCGAAGATGAGTTCTTAGCGATCACTCGGTCGATCGACATCGTGTACTTCCTTGAAGCCTCGAGTCACATCGAGCCGGGTCCGTATGACGTCACGCTCGTTGAAGGATCGATTACCACGCCCGGGGATTTAGAACGCATTCGCAGAATTCGCGAGCAAACCCGCTATCTAGTCACGATCGGTGCCTGTGCTACATCGGGGGGAATTCAGGCACTTCGAAACTGGTCGGATTGCGGTGAGATGATGGAGGCCGTCTACGCATCGCCCGAGTACATCAAGGTGTTGGAGAAATCAACTGCCATCGCCGAACACGTGAAAGTTGATTTCGAGCTCCGCGGCTGCCCCATCAACAAACAACAACTGATCGATGTGATCTCGTCTTTGGCCGCGGGACGCGCCCCACGTACCCCTGAACATAGCGTCTGCCTCGACTGCAAGCGGCGAGGTACCGTGTGTGTGATGGTGACTCAGAATTCTGCCTGTCTCGGACCGGTAACACAGTCGGGCTGTGGCGCGATTTGTCCCGCTTACGATCGTCCTTGCTATGGGTGCTTTGGGCCTACCAAACAACCAAATCTTATCAGCTTGACGAATCAATTCACAAAGGCGGGAGAGACTTCGCAATCAATCGTGCACACACTGCTGACGTTCAATGCGAACTCGCTTGAGTTCCGCACCGAAAGCAACCGAATTGCGGCCAGGCATAAGGAACAATCATCTTGAACCGCCCCCGTACGATTCGCGTTGAAGCATTAACCCGCGTCGAGGGCGAGGGTGGGCTGTTCATTCGGATGCACGGCAACCGTGTGGACGACATTCAATTAACCATCTACGAGCCCCCCCGACTTTTCGAATCGCTACTGCGTGGAAGACCGCTGGAAGAAGTGCCCGACATTACGGCCCGCATCTGTGGGATTTGTCCGGTGGCCTATCAGATGAGTTCTGCGCATGCCCTGGAGGCGGCCTTAGGCGTTACAATTTCGCCCGAGGTTCGGCGACTGCGACGATTGCTTTACTGTGGTGAGTGGATCGAAAGCCATGCCTTACATATGTTTCTGCTAAACGCCCCCGACTTCCTTGGGTTCAAGAATGCCTGGGAGATGGCGGAAGACTACCCCGAGGAAGTACAAGCTGGGCTGGAGCTGAAGAAACAGGGCAATCGTTTACTTGAAGTGCTCGGCGGCCGAGCGGTGCACCCCATTAATGTTGCCGTTGGTGGGTTCTATCGAACCCCATCCCGTGACCAATTCGCGGAACTCATCCCAGGATTCGAGTCTGCTTTGCAGACGGCTGTCAAACTCACCAGGTTTGTTGCCCGACTGGATTTTCCTCCGCTGCAGCGGAACTATGAAATGATCGCCCTGTCGCTGCCCGACGAATACCCGATGAACGAGGGAAGAATTACTTCGACCGAGGGTTGGACCATCGATGTGGAGCAGTTTGCCGAGGAGTTCGAGGAGCGGCAGGTCCCCCATTCCACCGCACTTCACGCCATCCGCAAAACAACCGGCTCGTGCTATTTCGTCGGCCCTCTAGCTCGAGTCAACTTGAATCGCGACAAGCTCATGCCTACAGCACGCCGTCTTGCGGACGAAATTGCCATCGATTGGCCTTGCTTGAACCCTTTCCAAAACATTGTCGCGCGAGGGCTAGAACTGGTTCACGCATTCGAAGAAGCTCTTACGATTCTGCGCGATTACAAGCCAGTACGTTCTCCGCGGGAAACCTACGAATACCGTGAAGCGAGCGGCTGCGCGGCCACGGAAGCGCCCCGGGGGATTCTCTATCATCACTATGAGATTGATGCCAAAGGTGCGATTAAGAGTGCGGTAATCATTCCACCAACCTCTCAGAATCAGGCGCAGATCGAAGATGATCTCAAGGATTATGTATCGCAGTTAGATGGAGATGACGACGCCATCGCCCTGGATTGCGAACGGTTAGTTCGCAGTTACGATCCCTGCATCAGTTGCTCGACTCACTTCCTCAACGTCAAAATCGAGCGAACGTGAATTGCGTAAAACCTTATGATCGCCCCACCTTTGAGTATCCACGGCATTGGCAGTCCCCACGGCGACGACCGCTTTGGCTGGAAGGTCGTTCATCGACTGAACGAACTACTAACGGACCCGGAACTAAGTGCGAATGCTCTAGGCCGAGACTCTCGTTCGCTTTCGCTGCACACCCCTGCTTCCCCTGTGGATATGCTCGATCATCTAACCCAAGAAGGTCGACTTGTCATCTGTGATGCCTGCCGTGGGTTATCCCAGCCCGGTGAATCCCGTTCATTCAACTGGCCGAGTTGCGAGATCGAGGAACTCGCAGGAAGTGGCAGTCACGACTTTTCGCTGGTCGATACACTCAAGCTCGCAGAGCGGCTCGGGAGACTTCCCGCGAGCGTAACGATTTGGGTCACCGAACGCTCGCCTCAAGATACTACGAGTTTGTTGGTAGACGACTCGCTCTCTCCTCCCGTCGCCGCCGCGGTCGAGCGCGTGGCCCAACACCTCTTGGAAGAATACATCGATGCATGAGTATTCCTTGGTGAGAGCCCTGCTGAGGGAAGTGGAGAAGCTTACGGCCACGGCTGGGGACGTGATTGTGACTGAGGTTCACGTTCAGATCGGCCCACTTTCAGGAGTCGAGCCACAGTTGCTGCTGACCGCATTCGTAAACCTTGCCCCGGACAGTTCCCTGCCGGAAGCGGAGTTGTTCATTGAGGAAGTCCCACTGATGGCCGAATGCTCGGAGTGCGGTAGTGAATGTGAGATAGTCAACTTTCGCTTTCAATGCACGCAATGCCATGCGACGCGAATGCGTGTCACCTCCGGTGATACCATGCTACTGGAGAGCATTGGTGTTCAGTCTCAATCTAGCGAGGCACAGGTATCTTGATGGCTGTTCATACGATTCACGCATCACGTGATGTGCTGGCCGATGCAAAACTGAAGGCTGCGGGTTTTCGCGAACAGCGAGCTCAGGAAGGAACCCTCGTCATCAACTTGCTCTCTTCGCCAGGAGCAGGCAAGACGAGCCTGCTTGAAGCGACAGCCCGTTTTTGGAACGGTCGACATAAGATAGCAACGTTGGTGGGCGATCTGGCCACCGATCGCGACGCCCAGCGGTTGGCCAAGTGGATGCCCGCGGTTCAACTCTCCACCGGTGGTGCCTGTCATTTAGAATTGCCGCTGGTCGAACGCGGCTTTAATGCGCTCGGGAACGATCCGGTCTCATTCTTGTTTATCGAAAACGTAGGCAACCTGGTTTGTCCGTCTTCCCACGATCTTGGCGAACATCTAAGAGTGGCCGTACTGAGCACCACCGAGGGTGATGACAAACCGGCCAAGTATCCGAAGGCCTTCCGCACGAGTCAGGCGATGGTCATCAGCAAGATCGACCTGTTGCCGCACGTTCCGTTTTCGGTCGATGCTGCCACCACCGATGCCCGAGCGATCCAGCCGGAGATGGCTGTATTACCAACGTCAACCATCAGCAACGACGGCATCGCCGCCTGGTGCGAATTCCTCGAAACCCAACGCTCGGCCCTTGTGAATGTCTAAATGAAACTGCAAACGAGCGATAGAACTTCTCCGCAGGTCGGAGAGCAGATCGTACTTCGCGGGTCAGTCCAAGGCATTGGACTTCGCCCGGCGGTTGCGCGATGGGCCCAAGAGTGTGGGATCAGTGGTTCGGTAACCAACGCCCAGCATGGAGTTACGATCTATGCCGAAGGCACCCCTTCCCAGGTGAGACACTTTTCAGACGGGCTGCTGCAAAACCTTCCCACAAAAGCGAATGTAGAACGCATCGAACAGTACGCAGTGCCCCCCACAGGAGAGGCGGGATTCCGTATCGATGTCGAAGGCAAAGGCAGAACCCTCACTACGCAACTTCCCCTCGATACTGCGGTCTGCCAAGACTGCATGAATGAAGTCTCGGATCCTAACAATCGTAGGTCCGGTTACGCATTCACGAATTGCGCGACATGCGGTCCACGTTATTCGATCCTCAGGGGTATGCCGTACTCGCGCGGGCAGACTGCGATGGCAGCTTTCGAGTGCTGTCCGAGCTGTGGTCGAGAATACGATTCAATCTCCGATCGCCGTTTTCATGCAGAAACAATCTGCTGTCCGGAGTGTGGCCCCCAATTGTGGTGCACCGATGGCAACGACCTTCTTGTGGCAAGAAATGAGGATGCAATAGATCTGGCGGTCAGAGCTCTTGCTGCAGGAAAGATTATCGCGATGCGTGGCATCGGTGGATATCAGTTGTTGGTCGATGCCACGTCTGAATCGGCAGTCGATCGCCTGCGGAGTAGAAAACGCCGGAAATCGAAACCGTTGGCAATGATGGTGCAGTCGCTGGCCGACGGCGAACGCATCGCGGAACTCAACGACATGGAACGCACGGCGTTAGTCTCTGCAGCCAACCCGATAGTCGTGGTTCGCCAACGAACCGACCAGGTGCTCGCGAGAGGAATCAATCCCGACATTGACACCGTGGGAATAATGCTGGCCACAACTCCACTGCACTGGTTGCTATTGGATGGATTCAACGGCCCGCTCGTCGCTACTAGCGGTAATTCCGAGGGCGACCCGATCGAGCACGAAGTGAGCAATTCACAACGTAATCTGGCAGAGATCGCCGACCTATGGTTGCATCACGACCGCGAGATTGTGCACCCGATCGACGACAGCGTGGTGCGCGTGCTGGGTAACCGCCCAGTGACGATACGCCTCGGGCGAGGGTTGGGTCCGCTATCGATTGACTTAGAGGCACTACGCCCCGCGGGTGCCGCCGCAGCTCCACCTATGCTCGCAGTCGGCGGGCAGATAAAGTCTGCGATTGCGATTTCCGGTCGCAACCAAGCCGTGCTCGGCCCGCACATCGGCGAACTCGAAGGTGCCACCACACGCGAACGTTGGATCAATCATGTGGCCGAGCTTTGCCAGCTTTATGGAGTCGAACCAGAGTTCCTTGTCTGCGATCAACACCCGGGCTACTTTACTACCGATTGGGTCCGACATCGAAAACTTCCACATGAATCGGTGCAACACCATCACGCTCATATTGCTGCAGCAATGGTCGAGCATCAGTGGCTCGATCGTGAAGTTTTAGGCTTCGCATTCGATGGAACAGGCTACGGCCCCGATGGAACGGTCTGGGGCGGTGAAGTGCTAAAAGCAACCGCCGATGATTTCAAGCGAGTTGCCCATCTGCGACCAATGCGGCTAGCCGGTGGAGAAGCGGCCATTCGACAACCATGGCGTGTTGCAGTTGAGCTAGTGCACGAAGCGGGAGGTATTGATGAGGCACGCGACCTTACCTTCTCGGGTGTCAACTCTTCGGCGATTCAGAGCATTAAGGGCGTTCTACAAAGCGACCGTTTCTCACCCAAATCAACGAGCATGGGCAGACTTTTCGACGGAGTCGCCGCGCTGGTGCTCGGCACGAGCCATGTCGACTTTGAAGCCCAAGCCAACATTCAGCTCGAATCGATATGCGATCTCTCGGAACGAGGGGAATATGAATTCTTGCTACAAGATGGCCCCTGCATCGAGATCGATTGGCGACCTGTCGTGCGTGCGGCTTGCGACGATCGGCGACGCAACGTGGCATCCGGCGTGATTGCCATGCGTTTCCACAGAGCTGTAGCGAATATGGTAGTTGCAGTCGCCGAACGGTTTCCCACCCTGCCCGTTGCCCTGGGCGGTGGCGTCTTTCAAAATCGCGTGCTGACCGAGTTGATTGCCGAACAGTGGCCGACTTCGGCTCCTCCACTGGGGCTCCCGGGGGCCATTCCCCCTGGCGACGGTGGGCTGGCGGTCGGACAGTTGGCCGTGGCCACGGCAAGATATTATCGGCGAGGAGCCTAACGATGTGTCTTGCCGTCCCAGGAAAAATTGTGCGTTGGATTGATCGCGACCCCACATTCGCCACGGCGGAAGTCGAGTTCGCAGGTGTTCGTCGACGCTGTCAAATGGCCTGCGTTCCGGAAGCCGCCGAAGGAGACTACGTTATCGTGCACGCGGGAATCGCCATCAGTCGCGTCGATGCAGCCGAAGCCGAACAAACGATTGCTGACCTGGAAGAATTCGACAACTAGCCACCAACAGCTCAAAGCAAAGCTCTACCCCTGGTCGAGATGATGAAGTACGTCGACGAGTTCCGCGACCGCGATGCCGCCCTGAGGCTCGTTGAGCGGATTCGCTCCCGATTGACGCGTCGCTGGACGTTAATGGAAGTGTGCGGAGGCCAGACGCACGGCCTCATGCGCTATGGCATTGCCGACGAGTTGGCGCCGGAGATTGAGTTGATCCATGGCCCTGGCTGCCCCGTTTGCGTCACCCCGCTCAAAGCGATCGATCTAGCGCTGCAGTTGTCGCACCAGGAAAACGTGACTGTAACCAGCTTCGGTGACATGCTGCGAGTACCCGGTAGTCACGAGAGTTTGCTATCGGCGCGTTCCGCGGGCGCCAAAGTTCGAGCCGTCTATTCACCTTCGGATGCCGTGGAGTTGGCTAGAGCTAACCCCCAGCAACACGTTGTCTTTTTCGCGGTGGGTTTCGAAACAACGGCCCCTGCTACTGCGGTTGCTGCCTTGCAAGCTCGAAAGTTGGGGCTTACGAACTTCAGCTTGCTGGTCTCTCATGTTCGCGTGCAGCCTGCCATGGAATCCATCGTCGAGTCCGGCAACACCCGGGTACAAGCCTTTTTGGCAGCAGGCCATGTTTGCGCTGTAATGGGTTATGAAAGCTATGCCGACTTCGTTGAGAAGTATCGGCTCCCTATCGTTGTGACAGGCTTCGAGCCGGTCGATCTGCTGGAAGGGATTCTCGAAGCGGTTGACCAACTAGAAGCGGGACAGGCCGAGGTGGCCAACTGCTATTCGCGGAGCGTTCGCAGCGAGGGAAATACTCAAGCCCAAACACTCGTGCAAGAGGTGTACGAAGTGTGTGAACGTGATTGGCGAGGGTTTGGCACCATTGCCAAGGGTGGTCTTCGCCTGAAGCCGGATTGGCGTGAGTTCGATGCCGAATACCGTTTTCCGCTCTCGCTCGACGCGATAAACGAGCCCTGCGAATGCCGTAGCGGCGATGTCCTGGCCGGTAAGATCAGACCGCCTGAATGCAGCGCCTTCGGCACCCGATGTCGGCCCGATCATCCGCTGGGTGCTCCCATGGTCTCTTCCGAGGGCGCGTGCGCGGCCTACTTCCGCTACGCTGGCCACTCGACTCGCTGAGGTAACGTAATGCCTGCACCACCAGGGAGCGGCGCCTGCCCGCTGCCACTGCCGCCCAATGATGATTGCATCCGGTTAGAGCACGGCGAGGGCGGTCGCGCCACACGGCAGTTCATCGAGCAACACATACTCGCCCGATTCGATAATCTCTGGCTCAATTCGCTCGGAGACGCTGCCCAACTCGAACTGAGCGGCGATTCGATTGCATTGACCACCGATAGCTTTGTCGTTTCTCCGTTGTTCTTTCCTGGAGGTGACATCGGATCGTTGGCCGTGCATGGAACGCTTAACGATTTGGCAGTTAGCGGTGCGCGACCGCGGTGGCTGACCCTGTCGCTGGTAATCGAAGAGGGCTTTCCGATTCGTGACTTGGAACGCGTTCTTCAAAGTGCCGCCACCGCCGCCGAAAGTGCCGGCGTGGCGATCGTCGCCGGTGACACGAAAGTTGTACCCAAAGGTGCCGCGGATGGTCTGTTCATCACCACCGCCGGGGTCGGTCAGTTTGTGAAGAAGCCCTTCGGTGGTCCTTCAGCTTTGATGCCGGGAGACGAACTCATTGTAAGCGGCCCGATCGGCCGGCATGGTATCGCCGTATTGGTCGCCCGGGAAGAAATGCAGTTTGACCCACCACCGATGAGCGACTCGGCCTCGCTAGTTCCGGTTGTCGAAGCTCTCAGAACAATGTCGATTCCGGTACGTGCCCTCCGCGATGCAACACGTGGTGGTGTTGCCGCGGTGCTACACGAATGGACCGATTCCTGCGGTCACGGCATTCGCATCGAAGAACCCAATATCCCCGTCACCGAAGACGTGCGTGGCGTTTGCGAACTGCTCGGCATCGATCCGCTGCACATGGCCTGCGAGGGGACACTTGTAGCAGCCGTGGAGAAAGGTTCTGCAGAGGCGGCCATCGAAGCGATGCGAACAGTAGACGCTGGCAGAAACGCTGCAAAGATTGGCCTTGTGGTTCCCAGGGCCATTAATCCGGTCGTCGTTCGCCGCTCCTTTGGACCGGATCGACCCCTGGATGACCCACTGGGATCTCCCATACCCCGGATTTGTTAATAACTTGCAGACCAATAGATTTTACGGTTTCCTCGCTGATGAAGCAGTAGGTTTTGTATTGTCGATCACGGGTTGCCCCAGCAGCAACCTGGGATAACGCACGTGGGCAATGGGATCCTCGACCATGTAGTTCTTCAAGTAATACTCGTTCTCTTTCAAAGCAAGTTATGTGCTTGCAAATCCTGCGATGAGGTCGTAAAACCACTCGCCAATCGCGCCGGCGAGACGACCAAGTACCCAAAGTTGTGGCATCACCCTGCGGTCTGTTACCGTATCACGGTACCGGCAAAGCAGGGTGAGACACGTTCGCAGAGCGACTCATCTTTCCTCCGCTGAACTGACTTATTCTGTCTTCACTGACCCGCATTCTGAACACTCGCCCATGGCACCACCGCTTCGCCCGTTGCCGATCTTAGAGCGATGGGACTGCCATGCGTGTGGTATTTGCTGCCGGAATGCATTAGTGGAACTGAGCGATCGCGATCTCGAGTTGCTTCGCGAGCAGGGATGGCAGCAGGAGCCGGAATATCGAGGAAAGAAGCTTATCGTCCGCGACCGTCAAATAGGCGGTTACCGACTAGCGCGGGGCAATGATGAGAACTGTGTTTTCCTCACGGCCGAAGGGCTGTGCCGCATCCATCAGCGGTTTGGTTTTGATGCCAAGCCCGAGCGATGCAAAGTGTTTCCGCTGCAAGCCGTATCGCTGGGGGATATGGCTTACATCACAACGCGACGAGCTTGCCCTTCGGCGGCTGCCGATCGAGGGCAACCGGTGGCCGGGCACACCGAGGTCGTCGAGTATTTTCGCGACTCCCTGGTCGACCAGCATCTCGCAGTACCTCCGGCAATTGCCCCAGGCTGTAACCGCGACTGGACCTCCGTCAGACTAGCGGGAAGTTCAATCGAGCGGTTAGTAACCAACCGCAAGATATCATTGTCCGACCGTCTGGCCCGAGCGTTGACGTTTTGCGATCACCTGGAGTCTTCGTTAGCCGAAGCACAAGACCTGAACCCCAAAGCGTTCAAGCGATTGCTTGGGGAATGCGAAAACAAATCAAACCAAGCCCCCTTGCCCGACGATCGACCGAGCAACTTGACCAGGTCATTGATGCGTCAAACCGCGATTGACTATCTGTTGCACCATCCGAACCGTCGACCCAACCGCTCTTGGGTTCGAAAGTGGCGAAAGGCATGGCAACTGTTGGGCATGGCCCGAGGAAAGGGACGCGTTCCGGATCTTGATTGTGAGTTCCCTAATGTCACCTTTGCCGATCTGGAGAATCCTCTGGAAGGGCTTGATGCCAAGGCGACACAGTTTGTCGACCGCTATTACGAAACCATGGTCATGTCGATGCAGTACCTGATGATGACCCGCTCGGGATGGAGCGTGACGGAAGCGTTTCGCGCACTCGCACTCACGTACCCAGCGTGTATGTGGATCCTTCGCTGGCAGTGCCGAGAGCGCCAGCCGCAGGAGGCCGATGTTTTCGACATGATCACCATCGCCGAGCGGTCGAATACCGCACCGCGACTGGCCGGGTTTCGTCATCAGCGATTACTGCGCATGTTCGCCCGAGATGGTCAGCTTGCGGCACTGGTTCGCTGGTACGGGCAGTAATCGATGCCGATTTGCGAGGAACAGAGGAATAAAGTTTGAAGAAGCGAATCGGCCTCACTAGAATCAAGGCCCCGCGCAGTCTTTGGGTGAGAACTTACCAATCCTTGCACTCGAGGGTGTCTCATGAGGTCGATCGTCAGTTTGGCTACTTTTGCCGGCATGGTCCTTCTAAACTTTGTGTCGACTGCCTTCGGCCAATTCCCGGATGTTGTTAAGACTCCCGCCCCGCCTCCTCCCCTGATCCTTAAAGGTTCGATTTACTCGGCCTACGTCATCGGAGGATCACCCGGCTTTGTGCCAGACGACACGGTGGGCTACGAATTCGACTTACTCTTCGATACGAATCTATTGACCCTCATCTCTGCGAGAGACAGTCTGGTCGATGACCCAGACATAGATATTACGACCATCCCCAACGGGCTGCGCCTTTCAGCGATGGGAAGCCAGGCCGTGCCAGACGAGTGGGTCACGACGCTGTTGTTCTCAGCCGACGAAGTGGGGACAACACAGATTACGGTGAACCCGTTCACCTACTATGCAGCCTCTGGCCCCGGGGGCGAGCTTGTGCCCTTCCCGCTGCAGCCTGGAGGTGCAGACACCATCACGTTAACCGTAGTGCCCGAACCCTCGTCGCTCGCATTAGCCGGCATCGGTTTCGTTCTATTGGTATCGGTCCGTCGACGACATTACCGCCGCGGACCACCCGACCCGTCCGAAACAGACGTTGGCTGAGCAATAGGCATTCTCAAGCAACAGGTGCAGAACTGCCCACGCAGCAATTCGATGCTCACACTACCTGTGGCCTTACCAGGGAGTTACGGTTGCCAATCTCAACCCCGGTTGCACGAACGCCACCACCCGTAGCGACTTTTGCTGTCGAGGAATTGTCAACTGTCGCATTGAAAAACGAATCGAAGCGGAAGCGTGCTTAGCGTTACCTGACGATATGTTTCACGTCGAAGCTGAGTCCAACGCGGACAGCATCCCCCGCCATACCTGTGACACGTCTTGCCGTGTTGTTCGCCAATTGGTCACGGAAATGCGTATCGCTGGCGCTGCGAAGTATTCCGTCGGCGTCATATAAAGAATTCCATCAGCTTGCACACGGAACAAATACTCCTGGACCGACCTGTGCGTCACGGCCTCACCAGCGAGGGTAAACACGATGCCGTTCAACCGTACCGGAGCAAATAACTCAAACCGGTCGGAGTCTTGGATCAACTCGCCAATTTCCTCGGCGACCTGACAATTTCGCATCACAATCTCACGGTAGCCCTCTCGACCATAAGCCATTAACGTGAACCACACGGGCAAGGCCCGGAATCTACGCGAGTTCTCGGGAGTGAGATTCACGAAATTAGTCGGCGTCGGATCAGCTTCGAGGTAAGCTGCGGCGTTCTGGAACACTTCGCGTTGCCGTTGCAGATGCCGAGTGAAGAGCATCGCTGAATCGTACGGCACGTTAAGCCACTTGTGCGCGTCAATGGTAATGGAGTCTGCCCGGTCAATCCCAGCAACGAGCGACTGCTTCTCGGGGACGCAAGCTGCAAAACCACCGAAGGCAGCGTCCACGTGCAACCAAGCCGAGAACTCGTGACAAGCATCCGCCAACGCGTTCAAGTCATCATAGTCAACGCTATTGACCGTCCCTGCATTGCCTACGACTATGCACGGGTGGCCGGATTCGCCCAGCTCTTTCAAACGCGCCCGCAACGCCACAACGTCAACAGCTTCTCGATTGGGAAGCGTTGCGATCCGCTCCAAGCTTTCCCGCCCCATCCCTAGCATTGCAATCGCCTTGTACACGCTAGAGTGTGGCGTTCCGCAAAGCACGCGGATTGGCGGGAGCCCCGACATTCCCGATTGTGCAATGTCGACACCGTGACGATGTCCAAGCCATTGTCGCCCCGTGGCTAGACCGACGAAGTTTGCCATCGTCGCGCCGGAGACAAATACTCCGGTGTGAGCTTCCGAAAGACCAAACAATTCACGCAGCAACTCGATCGCGGTAAGTTCAATCTGCGATGCGATTGAATCTTTGGATCCTGTCGCATTCTGGTCATAGATCGTCGTAAGCCAATCACCGGCGATACTTGCCGGAGTCGCACCGCCAGTGACAAGCCCAAAGTAGTGCGGACCAGCCGACCCACTCATCCAGTCCGCGTACTTGGATCGAAAGAGTTCCAGCGATCTTGTCGCCCCAATTCCGGCTTGCGGTAGTGTCTCAGCAACAATTGTCGGCGGCACAATCGCAGCATGCTTCGAACCAAGCGTACTGAGAAAACGAACACTGTCGTCAAGTACACTCGCCAAGATTTGGTGAATGTGATGCAGATCGTCGCGAAGTTGTTCGTGCATATTGTGGTGTAATTTCTTGGTGCAGTGGAGACTCAGGAAAGCCAAGATTAATTCTGCCGAAACAAGCGATACCAGGACCGGACACAGGCAGAGGAGCAAACTCCTATTGGCAAAGCTATTCGAGTGCATCGAGGCTCGTCAACGCATGCAAAAGCATGCCAACCACTCACTAATAGACGTCAAACACCGATGGTACCTAACACAATTAGCGAATCTGATGCAATGATTCTAAGTGCCGGCCTGGAGGCGTGTTGTGTGGTCGGCAGTCGGCGCGCGATCTCGTGACACATGAGGGTATGTCCTCGATAATCAACGGATATTACTTTCTCCCCGTGACCGCGGCGAGCTGCAAAGGTTACTTCGAGGTGGCGATTACATCGACCGAAGCCTGGTGACCAAATGGAACATTTCCCGGTGGTGAAAACCATCTCTTCAGACTTGCTTCGAAGGCCGCCTGCCCTCGGGCGATGCAACCTCGGCGAGTTCCGTGAGGCCAAGACATTGATTGTCAAGTAGATCGATACGGCCAGCGGACTCGGTATTTGCTAAGCGAGAATGAGGCCGGTTCAAGGTAGTTCGAGGGCACATTTTCAAGAACAGCTGATGCCAACGTTGCGGTGGAAAAGCCGCCCGCAGGTGTGGCAACTCTTCGGCAATTTGGCAGGGTCCACGGCGATGAGAGCAGCACTCAATTGGTCACACGAATATCCTGGCGTTGTTTAAGCCGCCCGTACTGATTCTCTCCGACCAGCCATACCTGCATGTTGCTAGCGTTGTGAGTCACGCTGGCAGGAATGGCCACCTTTCCGGTTTTACGGTCTTCTTCAGTGATGAACACGTTGTGCTCATCGGAACCATCGGCCAGGTTCTTGAAATAGAGGATGATCGCATCCATGTTCTCGGACGTGAATGTGATTTCCCATTCCCTACCCCGTGGAACTGCTTTGGATAGATGGTCGAAGTCGAGTTCGCAGACTGCGAACTCGCACGCTTGGCTCAGCGATCCATCTTTCATCACGCAGTGTGCAGTGTAATCGCCGCATGTATCAAAGCTGCGTTCTAAGACACCTTTATCTATGTGCTCGATCTCTTCCACAGTTTCGCCGTCTCGTTTGATAACCAGCGTTTGAATCCCGCGATTGTCACGGTCCATGATGTTGATCTTCACGGGTTGCCCGTTGTGATACGGAACCCAGTCGCCGCGATCGAGGAGCAACGCGCGATTGATTCGCGGGGTTGCCGAATCATCCTCGTAGTTCGGGAACAGAAACGATTCCGCTTTGTTGTGCCCTCGCCAGGCATCGTGATCGATTATGCGATACAACAGTCGATTTCTGGATGCGAGTTGCGCTTCGAATTCTTCAGCGCTCCGTAGCCTGTTGCTAGTCGTTTGGGGTCGACTTTCCTCAATCCGGACATGCGTCACCTTGCCGGCCTCGTTTCGGACGACTTCCGTTACCAGCTCCACATGCGAACCCCCGTTCTTCTTGGCCGGTGGAGTGTAGATGATGTCGCCACTTTGAGCGGCTTCTGCCAACGGCGGCTCCACAATCACAACGCCTTCGCGAGCGCCTGGTCCATGCACCTTGCTGACATACCAAATGCCGCACTGCAGGGCACAACTGGTGTAGGAAGAACAGACCTTGCCGTAATAGCACTCTGCGTTCTTTGACCAGCCTTAAATTTCTGTACCACTTGCTATGAAGGTGTGGGTTGGGGTATTTCGCTGTGCTGCTGGAGTGGAGAAGTTGATTGAGGCGTAGCCGAAATCGACTTCGGAACGGAAGCAGCACAGCGGGTCGCGAATTCGGACGGGGTGGCATACCCCAGCGAACTGTGCGGCCTCACGTCGTTGTAATCCTTTCTCCAGGCCGTGGTCAGCTTCCGTGCCGCGGCCAAACTCTCGAACATTTCCATCTCCAAGAACTCATCGCGAAGCCGACTGTGAAAGCTCTCCGCGTAACCATTCTCCCATGGACTGCCCGGCGCGACGTAGTGCGTTTCGACATCGACTTGCTTTAGCCATCGCCGGATTGCACCAGCTACAAACTCCGGGCCGTTGTCCGAGCGAATCGCACCGGGCACGCCCCGCATCGCGAACAGCTCGGCCAACGAGTCGATCACATCTTCGCTGGTGATGCTGCGGTCGACTTTCAAAGCCAAACACTCCCGCGTGTACTCGTCGACGATCGATAGCCACTTCAACGGGCTGCCGGCCTCCGTGCGATCGAACACAAAGTCCCAACACCACACGTGGTCTTTATGTTCGGCTCGCTGAATGTGACAGGCTTGGCTGCTGTCGCCCAAGTAGCGTTTCTTACGGCGTTTCTGTGGCACTTTCAGCCCTTCGCGACGCCATAGCCGCAGCACCCGCGTGTTGCTGGCCTCCCAGTCTTCGCGACGCAATAGCACGGCAATCCGACGATAACCGAAACGCGGTCGAGCGGCGGCCAGTTCACGCATCCGCTTCACCAAAGCCGCTTCGTCATCACGAGACTGCGGCTGGTAACGCTGAGAGCTGCGTGGCTGATCAGTCACCTGACACGCCCTTCGCTCGGAAACTGCGAACACCTCGCGCAGCTCGCCGACCGCCGCTCGTTTCCGGGAAGGGCTCACCAGTTTCCCTCCGCGATATGCTTCAGCATCTTGATGTCGAGTTCTTTCTCGGCCACTAACTCCTTCAGCCGCCTGTTCTCGTCTTCCAGTTGCTTCAGCCGCTTCGCCTCCTCGGCCTTCATCCCACCGTACTGGTTTCGCCAACGCAGATACGTGGCTTCGCTCACTTCCAGGGCCTGCAATACAGCAGCCTGGTCCTTCCCAGCATTGAGCATCGCGTCCGCGTCTCGCAACTTACGAACAATCTGCTCCGGCGTATGCCGCTTACGTCGCTTCGTCGTCATCTCGGTCTCCTCGCTCACATGCGTAAAGACCTTCATAACACCTGGATCAGATTTTCAATAGCAGGTCATCTTGACCTTCCCATACATATTCTCGGTATACAAAACGCTTTGTGGGTTTTCGACTGCAGCGAGAAACGTCTTCAGGAAGATGTCGAATCCAATGTATCGGCCGACGTGTTTGACACTCGAGTACGGCACACCGGTGTATTCCTTGCCTGCTGCGAAATGCCCGCCCCGCATTGGCATGCCGTCTGCCACCGGGGTCCATTTCACCCGAGACATGATGCGGGCATACTCGACCGAGACTTCCTGCCATGAATGCGATTCGCTTGTGGTGGGCATCCCCGATTCACCGGTGGCTTTATCTGAGAAGACATACAGAAAAACGGATCCCGCCAACAGAATTTTCATGAGCGTTTTCATTCAGATTTGCTACGTCGGTGCGGTGTGGAGAACAAATGAGGTTGGTGCGATCTTGCAGTTGGGTTTTCGCCTTCGGCAGACCAATAGATCGATTCGCGATCCCGTACCCTGCATTCTCAGACCGGGGTTCTATTGCAAACGATCGATCTAAAAGCTAGTCAGCCCGCGGCTTCAGGACTAACTAAGCGGCAGCCGGTTGGCTCTGCCTACACAGCTTGCGTGTCCATAGCCGCGAGGACACCTCTTTCAGTTTAGCGGAATCCTCACCCGCACGAGACGATGCAACCTCGCTGACTTGGCAAACCAACGACATGCGGGCGGTGGATCGACCGCTGTCCCCAAAAGCGAAGTCCTACCCACCCAGCGTCTTGAGGCGTGCCCAGTTGTACTCCCAGTTCATTCGGGCAATATGGTCTGTGGAGATCTCTTGAGGGCAGACCGCTTCACAAGCCTCTGTATTGGTGCAACTGCCGAAGCCTTCGTCATCCATCGCCTGCACCATATTGATGACACGCTTGGTCGCTTCCACTCGGCCTTGAGGCAAATGACTGAGGTGAGCGACCTTGGCTGATGTGAACAGAGAAGCCGCAGCGTTCTTGCAACTCGCCACACAAGCGCCGCAGCCGATACAACTGGCCGCAACAAAGGCTGCAGCAGCAGCCTCGCGCGCAATGAGAATCGAGTTGGCCTCCGGAGCCGTGCGGATATTCGTCGAGATGAATCCACCCGACTGGGAAATGCGATCCAGCGATGAGCGATCGACCTTCAGGTCTCTTACGACTGGAAAAGATCTCGCCCGGAACGGTTCGACCGTGATTGTATCGCCGTCGGAGAACGATCGCATATGCAGCTGGCAAGTCGTTGTGGCGCGAAGCGGTCCGTGCGGCGTCCCGTTGATCACCACACCACATGTTCCACAGATTCCCTCACGGCAGTCGTGGTCGAATTCAATGGCCCGTTGACCTTCGGCGATCCGCTGACCGTTGACATGGTCCAGAGCTTCGAGAAACGACATGTCCGATTCGATGTCCTCGGCGACGTGCGTCCAGAAGCCACCTGCTGCTTCAGGGCTGTCCTGTAGCCAGATGCGAAACGTGATCTTCATCTCAGCGGTAGCTCCGTGAAACCATTTCCACGAACTCGAATGCCAGCAGTTCTCGATGACAAACGGGATCACCGGTTGAGCAATGTTCCCAGGCAGCCACATGGGCGAAGTTCTCGTCGTCACGAAGAGCTTCGCCGTCATCGGACTGATGCTCCACACGGAAGTGCATGCCGCACGATTCATCCCGATCGAGTGCATCGCGGCACATCAACTCGCCCAGTTCAAGATAGTCCTGTACCCGCAGTGCCTTTTCCAATTCGCTGTTGGGTGCCATACTACCGCCCGGAACGAGAACATCCTCATGAAACTCAGATCGCAGCTGCTGGATGTCGCGGATCGCTGATTTGAGTCCGTCAGCAGAGCGGATGATGCCGCAGCGATCCGTCAGGATAGTGCCGAGCTCACGGTGGAATTCGTCTACCGATCGGGATCCCTGAATGGACAGCAACTGCCGAATTGACTCTTCGGCAGCCTGCACGGCTGTGTCGAACTCCATTCGATCCGTCGCAGGAGGAGGCTGGCTGATATCGTTTGCCAGATAGTTGCCGATCGTACAAGGAAGTACGAAGTAACCGTCGACGCACGCCTGCAACAGTGAGTTTGCGCCGAGTCGATTGGCACCGTGGTCTGCAAAGTTGCATTCACCGAGAGCGTACAGCCCTGTAATCGTAGTCATGAGTTCGTAATCGACCCAGAGCCCACCCATCGAGAAATGCGCTGCCGGGGCGATCTTCATCGGCTCATCGTAGGCGTTGATTCCGGTGATTTTCTCATACATGTCAAACAGGTTGCCGTACCGCGAGGCGATGACATCCCGTCCGTGCTTTTCGATCGCATCGCGAAAGTCGAGATATACGGCGTTCTTGAGAGGGCCGACACCGTGACCAGCGTCGATACGTTCCTTTGCAGCTCGTGAGGCGATGTCGCGCGGCGTCAAATTGCCGAATGCCGGATACCGGCGTTCGAGGTAATAATCACGTTCTGCATCGGCGATCTCACCCGGAGGACGGTTGTCCCCCGGCCGGGCCGGAACCCAGATGCGGCCGTCATTGCGCAGCGATTCGGACATCAACGTGAGTTTCGATTGGTGCTTTCCGAGTGGTGGTAGGCTCGTCGGGTGCACCTGCACTAAGCTCGGATTGGCCATGAGTGCGCCTCGCTTGTGGGCCTTCCAAATCGCCGTCGCGTTGCTGCCCATCGCCAGCGTCGAAAGGTAATAGATCTTGGCGTACCCGCCTGTCGCGAGAACGACCGCATGTGCAGAATGGCGTTGGATTTCCCCCGTCACCAGATCCCGGACAATCACTCCGGCGGCCCGACCGTCGATTACGACAACGTCCAACAATTCGTGGCGGTTGAACATCTCGACGCGACCTGCCTTGATCTGCCGGTTGAGGGCGGCGTACGTCCCGAGAAGGAGTTGTTGGCCGGTCTGACCTTGAGCGTAAAACGTCCGCTCGACCTGCACGCCTCCGAAGGATCGGTTCCCGAGCACGCCACCATATTCCCTCGCGAACGGGACGCCCTGAGCGACGCACGTATCGATCAGGTCGACCGATAATTCGGCCATGCGGAAGACGTTTGCCTCTCGAGAGCGAAAGTCGCCCCCTTTGACCGTGTCGTAGAACATCCGGTAGACGTTGTCACCATCGTTCTGGTAGTTTTTGGCTGCATTTACCCCGCCTTGGGCAGCCACGGAATGCGCGCGACGCGGGCTGTCATGAAACGAGAATGCCTTTACGCTGTATCCCAGCTCTCCGAGCGCGGCGGCAGCACCTCCACCGGCAAGCCCCGTGCCGATGACGATGATCTGTAGGTGCGGACGATTGGCCTTGTTGACGAGCCGGCACCGTGCCTGATACTCACTCCACTTATTCTCAATAGGGCCGTCAGGGATCTTGGCGTCTAGCGAGATGTGTCCGTGACTCATCGCAAGCGTCTCTTTGCTGCTTCCAGCGCTGTCGCCATCGTTGACTCAACGTCGGGAATTGCTCATTACCACATGAGGTATAAGTAGATCGGCATCGCTGCGAAACCGGCCGTCACACCGATGGCAAACGCGTATCCAAACCGCCGCACCCAGCGGGCATATCCCGGAAGTGACAGGCCCAGTGAGCGAAAACCACTGTAAAAGCCGTGGGCAAGGTGGAAGCCGACAGCAAGCACACCCACCACATACAAAATGACCTTCCAGCCTTTCTGGAACTCCGTGACGACGAGTCCGAACAGGTCACGGTGCCCCTCACTGTCCACTCCAATGTCGGCCCCCGTCTTGAACGGGAACCAGAAGTCGCTCAGATGCACGATCAGAAACAGCAGAATGATTGTTCCCAGCACTCCCATGAACCGTGAGTACCACGGTGCCAACTTCTCGGGTGTCTGGGCGCGATAACCCTCGCCGATCGACCGCCGATTGCGAACTGCGAGGACGGCGGCAATGATCGAATGAGCCAGTATGGAAACGTAGGTGAGGTACGCCGCAATCTCAATGACGGGTAATTCCGACAAGAAGCCGGCATACCAGTTGAACTGGTGCTGCGCTTTCGATTGCGGCAGGAACAATTGCAGGTTTCCCAGCAAGTGGACAGCCAAGAAAACACACAGGAACAATCCCGTCAGGGCCATCAGCGTCTTCCGGGCGACTGAGGTCAGCATGGTCTGATATTGCCTGTTTCACCCGTCACTTCATCGGACACTGCAGCCGGCAAAAAAAAGATACCCTTGAGGGGCGTACGCACAGATGACCGCGTTGAATTCTGGATACACACCCGATTCGCACAAAGGCCGCACGACCCGATTTCACCGGTTCACTGAATTTTAGACCCGTTCCGTCTCAAATGACACCCCACATGACCATCGTGAGTGGCCTGTGGACTGTACAATCCCGACGATGGTGATGGGGGCATTTCGGCATCCAGCGTATGCGTGTGTCCGCGCCAACTGAAGGTCTGTCCAGAGTAGCGAACTCTCGAGTTGTGAGGTTACTCGATCACATCGACAGACACGAGTTTCGGACCCTACAATCTGCCCGAGGGTGCACCAACATCAGTGACCAGCCCCCACGAACAGTGCCAGTTGTTAAGTTTAGGTTTGTTGTACTGTTAGGCCAGCCACAGCGCTGTGCGATAACGCGCAAGCAGAGAAAAAGGGTCGGGGGTGGGGCAAAGATTTTCGTGACTCTGTAAGAATTCGCTCAAGGGTGTTTTTCACACGTTGAGCGATCAGATCACGAGCGGCCCCGAAGAAAAATGCCCTAAGACCAAGCTTAGATGGATTGCTGAATACAGGCATAAATAAGAATGAGGCCTGTAGCTGGCTAATCTAAATGGTACGACACCCTCTGTCAAATATTACGACCACACTGAATTACTGCAGATTAGACGAGCCCAGGAAAGGTGATTTGGGATGGCCAAACCCAGCTGCCTAGCAACAAAAGGCCGGACTGGGAATCGCGCAAGCTCTCGCGACGAATCCCTTTTTCAACGAGCGATCTACACCATAGGCCTTCCACGAATCTCGCTGAGCGGTCCAAAAACAGTTGACTTCCCTTCACAAGAAGAGTTTTTGGTTCGTTCCGTCCGACGCTGTGACCACTGGCAGTCCGGTCGGGGCATAGCCATCTATGATCACACCGTATAGATCACTGTAAAAGCTTGGAGACCAAAGTACGGGTCAGCCTAGAACAGGAGATCCGTTGCCATGAGCGTGAATTTGCGATCCGAATTTTGCGACCATTGAATCGCTCGGTCCACCACTCTGCACCGATCACATGCAGGTGGCCGTCGGTAATGAAGACAGCCCCTGTCGGGGCTCCTCAATGGATGATCTCCGGCTTGCTTTCCGGACGACTTGGCTGCAGCTCTCTTTCGCATTTTGGTTTTCCGCCTGAACACCCAGCACACTCCAACGGGGCGCCCGGTAAGACTTTTCGAGCTCGGACGGGTAGTCCCCGGGATTCTTGGCTAGCTATCCAAGTCAATCTTCAGTGGCCTTCTTCTTCCCCGGCAAGAACCCTCTTCGTAACAAAGCACTCGAGAGCGCTTTCTGAAAGTGGTTGCCTTTTCGGGACTTGCTGAGTTCGAGTCGCATTCGGTCCTGCTGCGCGAAGCGAACTCTCACCGGACAATCGCCAACCGTTTAAGGGAGGCTAGAACGCGCGAGAGCGCTCTCGCATTTAGTCGCGAGCGAGCTATGCCAGTTGCTCGGCCTCACAAAAAATCAGCCACCGATGAGCAAGGCACTGTGCTGGTGGCAATTCATTGTTCGCAAACACTTAAATGGGACGGCTGCCCAGCAACAGATAGAAGGCCCGACACTTTGAGGCATCTGACCTTAGTCAATCCCTAGTTCAATCTCGGGATTGATGGCGATCGCTTGCTCCATCTCAGCTTGCGACTTCCCCTCTTCGCCTTGCTTGCGATAAACGAAAGCTCGTGCCAAGTGCCACTCATCTAAAGGTGCTGCAGTTGCCACCTCGTCAAGATCTTGATGGGCGGCTTCGTATCGATTCAACTCCGCACGGCAGATAGCTCGTTTGAGCAAGGCCTCCGTCCGCAAGTCGACATTCAGCCCACCTCCATCGATCGCAACCGTCAGTGACTTCTCCGCATCCGAAAAGTTCTTCGACTCGTAGAGCTTGATTCCATCATGGTAGCTGGCCTCGGAGTTCGCGAGTTTCTCAGCATCGATTTGAGCAGAACAGCCGGACAGAATGAACAATAGTACAAGTAGTGTTCGATCAATGGTCATTGCGAAACTAAATTAATCGAGAGGAAGCGGGACTTGCAGTTCGAAAACTAAACAAGATCGTGATTGAATCGGAGGCAATGCATACACCGTTGAAGCGGTGCTAGTACTCACCATCTACTGTTTCGCTGCCATTGCGAGTACCAAGTGCTCGCCATATCTGGAGATCAATCGAATCAGATATCGCACTAACGTGACCGTCGCCAAACGCGACAAGGACCAATCCAGGGTGTCGACTACGTGCCGAGATAATGGCGTGCTCTCCCGGGGTATCAGGAATTGCACTATAGTTGCCACAGTCGACGGCTTCCCAATTAGGTGGAGCTACGTGGTTGTACATCGTTGAAGAATAGGCCGCGAACGGAAAGCCGTTTGAGTAGTCCGATCCGTATAGCCATCGCCCCGAGGACATGAAGTTGTTCGGGTGCAATTGGAGTTCCAAGGTCAAGCAATCATTGAACATCTCTTCTCGATCAACGAGCCCATTTTGCCGGTTGTACATTACCGTTACATCTGCATCGGTCGGAAGATCTACTTCGGGATCAAGACCGCTCCCTTTGATTCGCTCGGAAAAGAATGCGGTGTGCGACAGCCCATCGGTAAACTCTGCGTGACTAAGCCCGCGACCTCCGGTGAACGCGCCATTCCCTAGGGCAGGCAACCCGTTCTTCTCAACGTCGTGCGTAGTCTGTTTGTTCGTTTTCTCCGCACCACCGTAGGGTGTGGAGCCACCGAAGTTGTACCGATAATTGTTCTCCGAGGTAATTCGCCCGGAATTGTCATCGCTTGGGCATATATACATCCCGGCAATCTCATTGTAAGCATCATAGTTGATGTTGTAGGGCTTACCGCTGGCCGTCATACGCAAGACCTGAGCCGTCTCAAAGTCAATCTTATTGAAGAGGTTGACGCTTTCTATGTATGGCAGAATCCGAAGATGAACCGAGTGAAAGCCAGTCCATTCTCCTTCGTTCTCTTGTCGAACACCCTCATAGTTGGTGTAGCTTGTAACGGGAACTGGACCACTTGATGTCACGCGAGTCCAATCGGGAAACAATCTTCCTGGCGGAAAGGTGCCAATCGACGTCTCATAGTTGATTACCGCGATGCCGATCTGTCGCAAGTTATTCTTGCACTGCATCTGTCGGGCCGACTCCCGCGCGGCCTGCACCGCTGGGAGCAGGAGCGAGATCAAGATGCCGATGACAGCGATAACTACGAGCAGTTCCACGAGCGTGAAGGCACTTCGATTGCGATCACGATTTGATTTGCTGATTCGGCCTGTGTCCATGTTTCGTATTGACCTAATGAGTTCCATTTCCAGGTACCGCCTGTAGCGAATGGGGAGCAAGTTACGCGGCCACCCGAGTGGGTGCCTTGCCACTTCTCTTTCTGGAATACAGAACGAACCCAACCCCGCCCAATGAGAGAAGCACCCAAGTTGAAGGCTCGGGTACGGCGACGAGGGAGATGTTGCTCGCGTTGATTCCGTCCAACTGATTTCCGCTGAAATTGTTCTGCAGCATCAGGAAGTCGCTAATGGTGACATAGCCGTCGCCGTTAAAGTCCCCCTCGTGCCATCCACCCGCCTGGTCGTAGTTGTTCTGCAAGGCGAGAAAATCGCTGATGGTGACGAAGCCATCGAGGTTGGCGTCGCCTCCGAGCGCGACTCGACCTGACAGATCGATACTCATCGCCATGCCGGTTAGCTCGCCGAATAAATCCTCGTCTGAGAGGCTAAGCGAGTAGCTCGCCGAGAAGAGACCAAGGTTCGAGGTATCGAATTGCACATCGAACGCATGCGCTCCGCCGGCAGCCAGACCTGAGAACAACGAAAGATCGGTGGTGAGCACTCCGGTATCGCCTGAGCCGAGGATCGCATCTAAATCAAGCGCTGCCGTAAATCCTGCGTTGCTGTCCAAATTGGTGATGGCAAACGATTCAGAGAACAAACCACTTCCAGCCGCGATGATGCCGAAGTCGAACAGGAGCGAGTCGGTATCGGTGAATGCATCAAATGAAGGGTTCGCGTGGTCGAGAACCTCGTAGTTGACGCCTTCGAAGAAACTCCCATCCGCAACGGCTTGGCTAGAACTGTTCACATTGACCAAGCCCGACTTCGTGCCTGCTGTGCTTGTATCGAGGGAGACAAAGTGGCTGTTGCCACCCGAGAGAGCCTGGGTCGTGCCGGAGAAGTCACCGCTCACGTCTCCAAACAAGGTCGAAGCGTAGTCCAATTCGTCGGCCCCGATGGACGCCACAACGTTGGCAGAGTTTTCAACCGTCACTTCGACCTGCGGCGAACTGCCTACCAAAACTTGACCGGGAGCGTTGCTCACGGCCACCTGCATACGGGCCGGCAATTGATAGTCGGCCACCACCGGCAAGTGATCTGACGAGTTTGCCAGTGCAGTGAGTTGCGACTGCGGCAAGGCGGTGTTTTGAGCGACATCTAGTTCGCCGTTCAAAAAATGCGTGCCGTTGTTACCAAGCGTGTGATACGAGCCCGCGATGTAGCTGAGACCTTCATTGTCAAGAAACTCGCCGGTCACCAACTGAAAATCGAATCGATCGTCCATTCCCCCGGTAACCTGGCCGGAGAAGCGTGAGGAATTGACCGGGCTCTGAGTGTGCAAATCGAGATAAGTTGCATTGTTATGCCAACTGCCGGAACGATTGGTTGGGTCGAACGCCTGCCCGGCACCCGCACTGGTCAATGCTTGCCACATGGCTTCTGAACTGCTGCGAATGTTGAAGTCGCCCGCGTAAATCGCGTGAGTCCCCTCGCCCAACGCATCCGAGTTGCTGCGAATCGCGTTGGCTTCAACCAAACGCCGAGCCTGGTCACTGCTGCTGGTACCTGCCTTGTAGTGGCTGTCGTAAACGTAGAAGTCGGCTTCCGAGCCGTACCCGACCGGGCGGAATTCGTATCGAAGTGTCTGGCGAGCCTGATTGCTTGTGTCGACCGTGCCGAAGGCAACTTCCTGCAGGAGTTGCACGCTGTTGGTGTTGTAGATCACACCAGGTCGACCGCCCCCGCTGGTGATTCCGTTTACAGTACCTCTCGCGTAGGTTCCCGCTCCATAAATGCCGTTGAGAAGATCGACGAAAGCCTGGGTCGTGGTCGCGACATTGCCCTGCTCTTGAAGAATCAGAACGTCAACCGGTTTGGCAATGCCGTTGACAACTTCAGTGCCCATGGCTTCGAAGACGGTCCCAGAGTCGGCTCGCGGGCCGTTTGTGGTGTTGTAGGTCGCGATTCGAAGTTGCGCGAAGGAGCTCTGGGGCACCGAGAGAATGAACGCGGCGAAGACGAGGGCAGGAGTGAAGAATAGCAAACGTTTACACATACTCTTTTTCAGGCTCACCCGAATCGATCCTTGTTACGCGAGAAGTAGGAAAACCCTCAACCCGCGACCAGAAATCTCCAGTCGCGGGCAAAGGGGAAATTCGAAATCCTGATGACATTTCATCGAGGAGCGTTTGATAAGACGTGTCTACTCACTAGGCCGAACGACGGCGACGCCAGACCAGAAGGCCAACTCCGCCCATGGCCAGCATCACAATCGAAGCAGGCTCCGGAACGGCTTGCACCGAAGTCGAGACTAGGGCGGCCATGGTTGCAGCACTCTGGTTGTCGACGAACACGTTGGTTTCGACTGGAGCACCGAACCCGGGAGTGGTGCCATCCCAGGTGCCCGAGGCGATCAACAGCGGGGCACCGTAGGCCAGTTGCTGGCTGTCACCAAAGATTCCACCCAACCCGGGGAAGGTCGACAAATCGCCAGCGGTCTGGCCAAAACCGTAGATCAAGTAAGGAGTGGGCGAAACAGTGTCTTGGGCGGCAGCCAAAGAGGTTACATCATCGTCCGAGCGAAACAGGCTCAGACCAATCGGACCATTACCCGGACCGCCGGTTGCAAAGCTACCGAACGGCGAATTGTGATCAACCGAGGTGATACCGCCACTAAGGGGAACACCGTAACCCGCGATACCCGCATTGTCACCGAGGCTGGCCGACGCGAAGACGTCAAACGTTCCGCCGGGATCAACAATCATGGTGTAAGAGACGTTGGCAGCATTCGCCGCAGCAGCACTGAAGGCAATCGTAAAAACTGCAGCAACTCTGAGAGCTAGCACTTTCATTTGAAACAATCCTTTTTTTATTGTTTGGTTACTTTGTTTTAAAACTGTGCAATGACATTTCAGAAACACGTCTCAGGCCTTCTTGCGACGATGCCAGAAGGCGAGAGCAGCGGCACCTAGGCCGAGCAACACAAAGCTCGAAGGCTCGGGCACAGCGGTCACATGCAATGGAACTGAGTCGAATTCAGCCTCCAGTCCGAACGCTGAGGGCACACTCATGTTGCTGAAGCCAAAGCTGTTCTGTAGCAACAGGAAGTCGCTGATATTGACGTTTCCGCTACCGTTGAAGTCACCTCCGGCCCAGCCACCGCTGTTACCAAAGTTGTTTTGCAAGGCGAGAAAGTCGCTGATATTGACCATGCCATCGAGATTGGCATCGCCGTACGCAGTTCCCAGAACATTGAGAACCAACTCATCCATGTCGCCACCAAGATTCGGGGCACCGGTCAGGAGCGAATCACCCGTCAGGTCGTACCACTCTTGACCAAGGACACCCGCGATCGTTCCACCCAGAGTGGGATCGTTAATCGCCGCTGCAAAGATATCGAGGTCTTCGGCATCAATGACACCGTCACCATTCGTATCGCCTCGCAGGAACAAGCGAATGCCGTGTTCCAGAACGAACCCTTGAATGGCGTCCTCTTCTTGGTAGGTCATCGTCCCGGTAACCGGATCGAAGACGTACAGGTCCGACACAACCGCAGGACCAGAGCTATCGATATCGACATAGAAGATTTCACCAGTACCTCGGTCCATCGTGACGAAACGTCCATCGGTCACGTCGCTGTCGTCGTCGTTGGTCGGAACCGGCAGATTGGCCGAAACCGACCAGCCACCAGGCACCACTTCGTTCTGGCTATTCGAGTCCGAATCGGCACCGTCGTAGTTGACGATTTCGCGCCCAATGATCTTTGGCTCTTCACGAGGTGATTCGAAGAAACCAGATTCTCCGATCACCAAGTTGCCGTCTGCATCGATCAGAACGAAGTCGTGGTCACCGTCGTTGGTGCTGGCATCGATGGTCGGATCTTCGTCGAGGGCAAAGCCTTGCGGGTAAGGAGATGAACCGACACGAAGCTCTTTCTTGGTGGCGGTGTTCGAACCGAAGTCGATTTCGAAGAAGGAGATATCGTCTCCACCACCATCCGATTCACCAACCCAAACACCAGACACGCCATCGCGAGTGACGAAAGCCATATCTTCGGGCTCACTGCGACCGGTGCCGTTGTCCATGTCAAGCAAGCCGGCGAAGTTCGACTCCCACGACTGGCTGTTCGAGGCACTGTTGTAACCACCGTTGGTGGTATTCACGACGCCCGCACCCGGGTCGAGGTCGAGAACCGAAGTGCCCGCGGCACCTTGAGCCGTGCTGGTTCTGTTGATGATGCGGAGTTGGTGATCGGTGAAGGATGAATCGGCTCCCACTTCTTCATCGTCAAGCATCAGCAGTGTGGCCGGGTTGACGAACTCGAGGTCGGGGTCGAAGAAAGGCACACCCTGAGTGCGGGCAACTTCACCAATTTTGCCGATTCCATTGTCCAAAAAGACAGTGGTCCCAAGGTGGTCGGGGTGATCGACTTCGAAGCCACCATCGGCCGCGGTACGGGGGGCATACATCGTCCCGGCTGCACGACCGTTGTCGGTGAAGTCCTTCAAGATCGATTGATAGTCGATCTTGTAAAGGTCGTAGTCACCCTGGGTATCGCCAACCCCGTCGGCTACGCCTACCGGCCCGCTATCGAACGCAGAAACGTAGGCCGTACCATTGATGGGGTTGATCGCGAGACCGCTGACTTCTTCGAAGTTCTCGTCATTCGAGACTTCGTAGCCCGTCCACACCGAGAAAAGTGGTGTCTGATTCAGCGGGCTGCCGTTCAAGTCGGTGACGTCATAGAAACTCACGGCACGACGAGTCGTCGAGTTGCCGATCGTTTGATTACCGTCGAGAACGGCCACAATCTTGCGGGGAGTAGGTGGATCGGCAAGTGCGTCGGTCGCGGCCATCAGCACAACGGCGACGGCGGCGACTTTGCATGATGCCCTCAGTCTCCAGTTCATTCGTTTCCTCACTTTCACAGGTCTAAGCATTGAATGGGTCAGGTATCACAAAGGCTTTGCTAACTAACTGCGGGCACGGCGACGACGAACGGCACCGAAGATCAATCCGAGAGCACCCATCGACAGGAGCACTACGCTGGAAGGCTCGGGCACAGCCACACCGGTGAAAACAACGTCGTCGACGTAGATATTTTCGCTGCCGGAGTTCGTGTCGACGCTGATGGTGAGGGAGAGGTTGTCGCCCAGTCCAAGAGCCGAAACATCGACCAGCATCGACTTCCAGTTGGCGGTACCGTTGTCGGCCGAAACATTGCCTTCAAGCTCGGTCTCACCGAAGGTCAGCAGGGGGAGAGTCGTGAGCCCGTCACCAAGGGTGACTACAAAAGCGTCATCGCTTTCGAAGCCGGTATCCGTAATCCAGTAGTTCAGAGACAGCGACACGTTCGTGTATCCGCTCACGTCGATCGCATCGAAAGCCAGGTCGAGCCGGCCATCGCCGTCGTTGAACTCGTAGTTGTGTTCGCTACCGCTGGCAACGCTGGTTCCATTGGGAGACACGTCGGGAGAGTTGGAGCCGGCAAACGAATTCACACCAATGAAGTCGTTTGAATCGCTAGTTTGCGTTACTGGGCCCACTGTCTCGCCGCGGGTGTCGTTCCAAGTCGTGACAAAAGTCATTCCCAAAGTGGCGTTCGTGTTTTTCGAACTAGCGTTGGTCAATTGGCTTCCCGAGGTGACCTGGTCGAAGGTTTGAGTCGAACCATCCGACAATGAGTTGAAGTCCTGCGATGCGATGGTAGCCGCATTCGCAACCGCACCGCTGCCAAGACAGACAAACAACGCTGCCGTGACACACAAAGTTGCAAGAGATAATTTTCGAACTTTACAAGACATTGGCTTCTCCTCTTCGTTAACTAAATCAACAAACGCGATGCACCCTTCACAGAGAGCGCTTGAATTAAGCGAGAGAATATCCATCGAACATGGCTGTGTGTGTTAATTGCAGAAGAATGTTTCGTTACCGTAATGCAAACACCAAATTATGTATCTTTTAGGTATATAATTATGCGCGCAGATCTTGAGCGCACTGGAAAACAGATGGACGCCGAGAGAACTTCGCCAAGAAGGCGACCTGGAATGAGGCGACAAACCACATCGGCCCGACGGAAATCGAGCAATTAGCCCAGGGGTATGGGCGAGTTCATCGTCAACTGAAGACGCGGGGTCGAGAAGACTCAATCGACCCGATGGAGGACACTAGCAGCTCCTGATTTCCTCTTGTGCATCCTGCGGTGCGTGCGTTGCAAGAGAGAGGCCGGCACGCTCTCGCTAATTCCCGCCTAAGTGCCTCTCGTATGGGCCGAAGAATAGCCTCGAATTGTTAGGAACGTATGTGCGTCTGGTTAATCTCGTAGTAGCAACAAAAAAGTCTGCCCATCTGAGCCAGTCGCAATGCTCGTCCAGGAACTTTTGGGCTTCTAGGAAACCACGCCAACGGTGTAGCAAGACTCTACTTTGTCGCTTTAGCCACCGATGCCTTGCCCATATTGAAGCGAGCAACAACAGGGTTATGGTCCGAACCGATCGTGTTGACCATTCCTTCATGAAGTACTCGATAACTGCCCGGCACATAGTTGTCACGCATTGCCGGCGACCAGTAGATGAAGTCAATCAACGTGCGATAGGGCTCCATGTTGTACGAGATGCGATGGTCTTTTGGCACCTCTTCCCATGCCGAACTGAGAGCATACTCCCCTGCCCCGGCAATCGTCTTTACGGTATCGCTCGTTTCGGTGTCGTTGAAATCACCACATATGACGATCTTGGCGGAAGGGTCTTCATGTAACCGCTGATCAAGCAACTCTCGAATCTTGCGGCATTCGGCCAATCGAATGGGTTCAGCGCGAGGCCGACCGTCTGAATTGCTCTTCAGGTGCACAACCCATACTTCAAAGGGGGCCGCACCTTCGGGCATCAGCTCAACCGTCAACAAATCGCGACGAAATCGCTGAATTGAGTCGTCGCTTCCTGGGAATCGCAAGTGGCGATGGGAAGTGACCGCCCCAACAGGAACACGAGAAAGCAACGCGACGTCGATCCCACGCAGATCGTTCCCTTCGAAATGCACCACGTGCTGATAGCCCAGGTCGCTACAGAAAACCTCGAGAAAGCGCTCCAAATAGCCACGACTCTCCACCTCCTGCAGGGCGAGGATGTCTGCATTGAGTTCATGGATCATCTTCGCCAGATCCTCCATCTCCTCACGCGGCTTCGGTCTGGTCGAACCATCGTTGTGGTAGGGTGAATCTTCGTCGTCAAATAGGTTCCGAATGTTGAAGGTCGCCAATGTCAGCGGTTGGCCGGCGACTGGGGCTTTCGGCTGCTCGAAGTTAGTCTCTGGCAATTCGTCCAGTACTTCGATCTGATCGGGGTGCGTCACCTGAATCTGAGGGCTACCCCCGAACGTGGATACTACCCCCCGCACACGAACGTTCTTGCCTTCGTACATTTCCTCCAGCGGGCCCGGGAAGTTCTTCATGTAGTCGTCGAAAATGACCACCTTGAAGACGTCACGTCGTTCCGGGTGAAAGTTGAGGAAGTGAATAGTCCGGGCATGCCCCACTCGGACGATGCGTCCGCTGACGTATGAGGTTCTTCCCACCACCTCAGCAGCATCGGTCCAGTCCAAATGCGGTCGTGCTTCATCGTCAGCAATTGGTGGAGCAGCGGAAAGAACACATGCAACGAATGAAAACACCACACATGGGAATAGTACGGTGATTCGCTGAAAACTCACTTGATCTCTACGCATCGTTCTCGCCATTACCCTTCTCAAATGCATGTGGTTCTCAGAGGTTCTGTTCTACTCAGCAGGGCTTGGCCATATGCTCCCAGAGAATCGAATGAAGCTCACGATCATCAATGCAATTAGTAGTACTGATGAATGCAGTGGGGCTCACTATGAATTGTGAAGAAAAAGCGAAGACCATGAAGCCCTGATGAGGCAAAGACTAGTCAGCATCATCCAGTTGTCAAACATGGTCTGAAGATCAACATCAAGTGAGCGCGAAAGCATTCAGCTCACTGTGTAGAACGCTCTTCGTTACGGTCATCAGACCTTCGAAGTCTAAAGAAGAACTGTCTGTATTTGTCAGGGTAAAAGCCTTACATCGCGTGCCAAGCAGGGGCTACCAAGAATCGGCAGGAGGCCCGACAGTTCATCCAGCACTCCCTTGCAAAGGAGCTTCTAGCACTCGCCGAGAAGGTTGTCGCAACGGAATCACTGCTTTCGATGCCACAAAAGTACGATGGGGCTGAGATGATGCGCTCAGACCTTGCCGAAGCGCGAGAAGCCTGGTTGGGAGATACGGCAGACGCTGCCGAATTGGAGGAGCGAACGAAGAGCGATTTTTCTGCTAGCCAAGAATCATCCAGGCGAGGTGCTCGGCTTCCATGCACTCAAGCACACCTGCGGTGCATGGCTCGTCAAGGCGGGGGCACATCCCAAGGCAATACAATCGCGCATGCGGCACTCATCGATCACCCTCGAGATGGACACTCATAGTCATCCGTTCCCTGGCCAATAGGCGGCGACACTGGCCAAGCTCCACAATCTGCTGCCAGCCGCTAGTAATAACGATGTGCGTGTACGCGGAAGTACACCGATTGAGGAGGGAGCAGAGGGGACTTCTGCCGATCCAAGCGCAGCGCATATGCAGCGCGGAGGACGCGTTTCGTCGCGGGAAGGTGCGCCTGAGTGCGCAATCGAAGTCGAGTCACCGAGCAACAAGACTCGCCGCAACCCGAACTGGGGCAGAAGATTACGCGGCGAAACATTTGAAAAAACAAAGCGGAGGGCAGGGGACTCGAACCCCCAATCCCTTGCGGGACACCTGATTTCGAGTCAGGCCGCTAGCCAATTCGCATACCCTCCGGGGCTTGTGCACAATCTACTTTTTGTGGGCCCCGCTGACAAGCGAGGGTAGGATTTGCCATCGTCGCTGGAACCATCTTCCCAGGGCCCACGGCGCCCTCGGAACAGTGATGGCACAGCAACCCGGCAGCTGCCAGGGGTGCGAAAACTGCTGCAAAGCCTACAACCCACATCGCCGCCTAACCGGTTGTCTACGCAGTCGGCCGCCGATTTGCCCACTCACAGGGCGTGACCTAACGTTTGTTTGCGTACGGATGTTCGGTCATTCGAACCCGATTCGTCGTAGCGTCGAGCCTTCTCTCCCGCACGGCAAGCGGTTCTTTTATTCCCAACTCGACATATGTGCGTGAAGCTTGCCTTCAATGCCAGGTCAATTAGGCCATTGGAAAGGAAATGGTGCTGTGGATCGACTAGAGGCCAAACACGCTATCGTTCATCACACGCTCGATTCGATCGGTCTTTCGTCGAAGCATCGCGGTCCTGAAGTGGCCCACGTCATGACCCCAGCGCCGTTGGCCGTGCCCGACGACATGTCGGTGCTCGAGCTGGCACGATTGATCCACGCCCGCGGTGCCCGTCACATTCTGGTCACCGACGTCGGCGGACGCTTGCAAGGCGTCATCAGCGACCGGGACGTAATTCGCTGCTTCGGTCCCAGTGAATTCCCCGACGAGAAACTGCTCGAGCAGATCACCACCGGTCAAATCATGAGCACCGATATCATCAGCATCGGGCCACATGAACCGCTGAAACGGGCGGCCTCGATCATGGTGAATCACGGCATCAGTTGCTTGCCTGTGCTCATGTCCGATGGCTCGCTGGTGGGGATCATCACGAACACCGATCTGCACATTGTGCTGGATTACCTGCTTGAACGGACTTGGCCTTCTGAAACGTCTGCAGAGGCCGCCGAGGCCGAATCGGTTTCCTAATTCTCGATTCGACCCCTCTATCTCGAACCCAGAGTGACGGCTGGTAACGGCCCTCGCAGACGGTTCACCTTTGCCGATTCTTGCGGCTCTCCGCGATATGGCATCCCGCGTCGAATGCTTACGTTCTTTGCTAGCATGTGGCCGATATCATGGCATAGCTCGCCCAACTTCACGAGCCTGCCCAACGAGGAACCACCTGCTATGGCCAAAGAAGTTTTTCGCGTGGTCACCCGCGCATCGGATGGAAAGATCCGAGTGAAAGATTACGTCCGTGCCGAGTCCGTCATGCGTTTGCACACGCAAATCGGAGTGGACGACTGCAGCACCGACCTGGGGCTTCGGGGGATGCCCGTCTTCCGTGGGCTGATCGGCCCCATGCCCGACGGAAGTGATGTCGTGCGATACGAATCGCCCGAGGTATTCGAATCGCTGACGAAAGAGTGGTGCAGCTCAGGCCCCAAGCCCAAGTCGCGCTCGCGCCGCCGTTCGCGAACCTCCTGAGCAACGAAACAATCATCCAAGAGTAGAAGACGCCATCACGAAGCCTGACCACCGATTCGGTGAGAAGCGCGTAGCGCGCCCGGCTCGTGTAGGTGTCTTCTTTTCTCGTGCGGGAACGAATCTCTCGGATGATCCCGAAGGTGACAAGAGACACGGCATCGATTCAGGCATCCTGCCTGGGAACCACGCCTTTAGTTGCCGAGCCTCTCGCGGCTTTGCCGCACTGGATTCATGAGCCCAGTGTCACCCTGTTTTGAAACCTCCATATTTCGTCATTGGTCCACGGTCTGCCCGCGGGGTCGGTAAACTAGCGACGCGACATTTGCCAGTCGTTGCTGGCTCCTTGTCGCGGCGGGTCGTTGTCGAGCTTCACGCCACCGATTTGCTGACGTCGCGCCACGGCGGTACCCGAAGCGAAAGGATCGCTCGAATTGGAGCCATCGCTGACCGCAACGCGGCTAATGTGCTCTTCTTCGACCATGCGTCGCGTGGTCACAGGATGGCGCTCGATGCGGGAATCGGCCACCATCTCACGGCGAACCACCGGAATCTGAGTCGGTTCGATTCGCGTTTCCCACCGCGTGCGGGGCACAAGCCGCTGCTCGTAGTAGGGCGTAACCAACGGGTTCCAACGGCCCTTCAACTGAGCTTCCCAGCGATACTCGGTGATCGGCGTGACATACGTCCGGTGCGAGTCGAGATACTGGGTGGTCAGCTGCTCGCGGTACACCGGAACTTGTCGCTCCTCGTACCGAGTTTCGCTCACCGGACGCTGAACAACTCGCCGCGTCTCGCGATAGGTGCGACCGTCGTCACCTTGGTAATAACGGACCTCGTCGGCCCGTAGGTTAGTCGCAACCGTTACGGTCAGAACGGCTGCCGCGAAAGCAAATACACGTTTGGTCATCGGTTCCCTCCGAATCGACGTCCGTATAACCCCTGGGAAGCGGTCATGCACCGTCGAGTCGTTCGAACGGGGACACCGCCGCGTGATATCAAGCCCTCGATATCATCGCCGGCGGCAGCATGAAGGCTCCTCGTCACTTCTCATCGGCACTCGGGGCAGATGGGGATTAGCCCGATCGTACGGTCTGCCAGCATTGCCTCTATCCTGCCGGACTTGGGGGTCGAATCGGGGATCTTGCAAAACGCCTGCGAATCGGGCACCTTGGCGGGGGTCAAAGCTTATTCTCGCTCACCGCCCCCGCCCAGGAGCACCGCTCGATGATCGGCGCAGATTTGCTGGAAATACTACGCTGCCCTCAAGATAAGTCCCGTCTTCAACTCGCCGACGAGAGCCTGCTGGCCAAAGTGAATCAGGCCATCGCCGGGGGGAACGTGACCAATCACTCGGGCACCAAGATCACCGCACCCCTATCCGCCGGGCTGGTTCGCGAAGACAACCGCGTGCTGTACCCCATCATCGACGACTTGCCGGTATTGCTCATCGACGAATCAATTTCCCTCGATTCGATCTAGCACCACGAACACATCGACATCTCAGCGAGTCACACCCTGCATGTGGGAGACAACCAGATGAGCGAAAAGACCATCTTCAAACGCATCATCGACAAAGAGATCCCCGCCAACATCGTCTACGAAGACGATCTGTGCCTGGCGTTCCACGACGTGGCCCCCAAGGCACCGACCCACGTGCTCGTGATTCCTAAAAAGGAAATCGCCTCGATCGATCACTTCGACCAGGAAGATCAAGCCCTAGCTGGTCACTTACTGCTGACCGCAAAACAGGTAGCCAAAGAATTGGGGCTCGAAAGTGGATACCGAGTGGTGATCAACTGCGGCCCCGACGGCGGGCAAACCGTCGACCACCTACACCTGCACATCATGGGCGGTCGCGGTATGGGCTGGCCGCCGGGTTAGTGAAGTGGCTTCTAGGCAATCTCAAAGCCACTCAAGCGTGACGCCAATCCGCTTCTAATTCACCGCCACCGTTTCGCGGATGAATTCCACCTTGGGTTTGCCGCCAGCGCCGGTGAGGTACTCAGAAACGTAACGCTGTGCTTCGCGGGGGCGTTCCTTGTCGCGGAAGTTGTCGCCCTTCTGCAGAATCGGACGGGTCTCGTGCATCCCGCCAAACTCCCGCGTTCCAGCCGCCTGACAGGGGAACCAGGCCCCGTTGCCCTCGGCGTCTTGCAAATAGAACTCCGGATAACAGTGACCGGGCACCCAAACCGTACGTGCCGGAATGTCTTCGGCCCGACACATGGCGATGAACAACGATGAGAGTTCCTCGCAGTCACCGTAGCCATCTTTCAAGGCTCGCAGCGCGCCCTTGAAGGGTCCATTGCGATACTCAACGTTCTCTCGCACATAGTCGTAAATCGCTTCGACCCTTTCCCAGGCCCCTTCCTTGCCTTCCACCACATCGCTGGCCAGGTCCTTGATACGGCGATTCGTGCTTTCAATTCCCTTACTGGGTGTGAG